ATCCAATTCAGCTTTAATGAAGCGTAGGGATATCTTCTCATACTTCCTAAGCAAACAAATTGGCAGGTCTTCCGAACTAAAATCCTTAATGATGGAACCAAACGGACGCAAATTGATGAAAAATACAACACATTTTAAGAAAAGAACTAAGGATTTAACTGTAAACATGTTTCGGGTGTTCTCTCTCACCCATCATCAGTACAAACTGAAAGGCGAAATAAACGGAAAGAAAAATCTTGTCATTCTTAACTAAGAGTATTTATACAAAGAAATGAATGAATATTAATTAGTGAAAACAAACTGTTACCAATTAAGGTAACGTAACGATCGTTCTAGATAATCATATGCAAGGTGTATAGAACACCTTGCATATATTAGTCCTATATATAAAGTTGTAAGCTTAAATGTTTGAGTTGAACGTTGAGATTTTGGACTGTTCATTTTAATATGTAGTGATTCTTTTATTCGTAATCCAATTTCACTGCCAATAATAGCAATGCTCAAATAGGAACAAGTTGTAATGATCGTATCAAGCATAGCTCATTAACGAAAAGTTATTTTAGATATATGAAAAAGTTTCTCTGGAGGGATTCGTTTGTGTGGGACAAGTGTGTATTACGATTCCTATTTTATTGGTCAGTTATTGAGTTTGACATTTCTGAAGGGTCCATTGAAATTGGAACATTACTTACTGTTACTTCATACACAAGTATCACAGCAGTTGACAACGTATCTATATCGATCTTGTCTGCACTGAATTTACAACTTCTGTTCGTTTTATCAACACTTGTAAACTTACAAACTTCATCTCCTAGCCTCAAGCATTCCTGCGCACAACGGGTGGTCGTCTGTATTTTAGCCATGTATGTAGCTGCAGCATCACCATTACGGTTTATAAGAGTCAACACTTCTGATTTCAAACCTGGAATGTTACCTATTCACAAACAAAAAATGTCATGAAATTACATAGCGTTTGATGTGGAAATCAAGCCAGCAATATCCCGTTCTTTCACTTTGTTTTCAAAGCTCAAACCACAGTGTTACGATTAACATGTTTAAATTTGGTGTTTTAAATATTGTAGACAGGAATCAGATTTGTATTTAAAATGTGTTTTCTCCTTTAATAATATTATTTTCTTCTTCCCTTTGGATTGCAACCTTATGTGGTCGGGGAGCTTGAGTGTCTCAGATGACCACTAGAGCTGCCAGCTGGAGATATATCTCCTGGTAGGCCACCACCCATGCTGGACAGGTCGAATGGATAGAATGAAATGGATAACTGAAGACACATCATAGAAAATAGGAGAACATTAAAGAAGCAAATAAATGAGACAAAGTCAGAACGGCTAAAAATAAGGTTCTTGGTACTGTTTTTATATCTATACAGAAAACAGTAACAAGAAACAAACATCAGTACGAAAAAATGGAAAAGCACTTTGGCCCAGATACTTTGAATGAGCTCACTTCTAATGTACTTGCTCCAATATTTACACTATCTGGGATACCAAGAAAATACAGTACCTGATGACTGGACAGAAGGTGTCATCAAAATTATACAAAAGACGGGCAATAATGGACTGTAACAATGACGCGGGATTAATACCATATCATTTATTTCCACCATTTACAAATACGAACATGAAAATACAAAACATCAGTATGAAAAAATGGAAAAGCACTTGGCCAAGATACTTTGAATGCAGAGTTCTTCCAAGCAAACCAAGAACTCACTTCTAATGTACTTGCTCCAGTATTCACTATCTGGAATACCAAGAAAAATACTGTACCTGAAGGCTGGATAGATGAAGGTGTCATCATAATTATACAAAAGACGGGCAACCTAATTGACTGTAACAACTGACGCGGGATTGATACCATATCATTTATTTCCACCATTTACAAAAATGAAATACGAACATAAAAATACATAAATACAAAACGAGTCAACAGAAATTATAACGCTAAACAACGGACTTCACACATCTAGGGAGCATAATTAGACATGATGATGGTGTTTACAGTGACATCAAGAACCGAATAAACAAGGCTAGAATTGCATTCGGAATGCTCAGCAATTCAGGGGCGGATACAGAGATGTTCAAAAATGGGGGTGGGGAGCCGGAAGTGAGCCAATTGAGATAACAAGACGCCCGAAAATAACCTCTGGGGCCTGTTGGGTGTTTTTTTTTCTCTTTTTTTTTCTTTTTTTTTTTTTGACTTTTTGACTTTCCAAAAAGGTGGGGGGGGGGTGGGGCCGGGCCGGCTCCCCCTCTAAATCCGCCCCTTGATTTTGAGGTTTCAACTTTAGAAAAATGCCGGAAAATGACAGTGACTGACATCAATAAACCTTTAGTAAGAATGTAGGCCCTAAGACGAATCTGTAGGATTTTCTAGCCTAACGCAATATATCTAACCAAGATATCATGATCATTAGATGCGAGCAAGACAGCGTAAATAACATGCTTGCAGGGCGGCGCTGGAACTAGATTGAACATTTGCTAAGAAGGGAGCAAGAACAGCAAAAGTAGTCCTAAACTGAAAACCCCAGATGGAATATAGTCCACTCAATCTACCGAATGAGCCGGAAGCAATTGCATTGATTTCAACTGTATTGTACTTCATGTGTACCCTAAAACAACATAATTAAATATCTAGAAAATAATATTTAGTGGAAGGCACCTAAATATCGACATTTAATATTTAATATATGAGGCATGTTGTGGCAAAATGGCTAAGTTGTAGCAAAAATTTAAATTCAAGTTATTGGTATTTTCAAATACCTGAGTATGTGATCTTAGTGAGAGGTCATTCATTCAAATTGGACATTTCAAACCTAAGTTATTGGAAAGTGAAAGTACAGTACTTTTAGAGTCAAGATAAACAGGATTTTAAGTAATTGCCTTTCAAAGTTATTTGTGCATACATTGTTTAATAGAATGAACTATGAAAAATAACGTTAAATAAACAATTTGTTAACCACTTCCAGAACTAATACTTTGGGACATGGTTAATAATACATTAAACTGTTGACCTACAGTGAAAAACAAATTTGTTTTTTTTGTCAATTTTTGAGCTCCCATATTTTATAGCTCATTTAATCAATACTAGACTGTGCGACAACTTTACCATTTCGCCACAACATGCCTCATATGGGTTAAAGGTCATGACAATATAGTTTTTATATCTTGTCAACTACCGGTCTTAGAGAGTTGCTTTTGGTGTCAAATTTCTCAGAATGTGTATGTTCCTATTCCTAATGGAAAATGTGGTCTGAAAATTTCCGGAAGTGTCCTTATTTACCATTGACCCACATTGAAAGACATTTTTAAGGTCATGAGAATATAGGCATATCTTGTCACCTACTGGTCCTAGAGAGTTGCTTTTGGTGTCGAATTGCTCAAAATTTGTATGTTCCTATTCGGTCAGTGAAATGTGGTCTGCCAAATTGCCGGCTCAAAAATTATGAAACCCAGTTTGTCGAATCCTACTTTGCATGCAGAAACCCAGTTTGCCAAATGTCAATTTAACAGCAAGACAAGAAATTATTAGGAGCAAAATACAAATATAGACTATTAGACTCCAAAAATAGCATGCACACAATAATTTGATACGTCCTATTTTATCGAAAAAAACTGCATACACATATAAAGGCGCTTACTAAATTAGGCTTAAAGCACACTATTAGACATCCATTTTAATGGTATATATATACATGGGCGTCGATCGGTGTTGACGGGGGGGGACGCCCCTCACCACTTTTCAAAGTTTGGGGGGAATATCATATCGATTGCCCCCCCCCCCACTTTTCACCAATCTTCTATAATTAAAACCCCACTTTTAAAAGCGAATGGAAAGAATAACAATTACGCATGACTCATGCATTTTGTCTGTTCACTTTTCTAAGTGCGGTATGTATTTTCCGGACCAAAACCGAGTAAAAACGCAATTGTTTAAACATTTCGTAACCATCTCAGAAACCCACTAGATCGATTTTATGGGGGCAACGACTATCAGAGGCTAAACTTATTGTGAAAACAATGTACTGAACGTTGTTAAAATTGGAAGCATCTATTCTTATTAGGCCAATATTTTTACAAACTAAAAAGTGCACAATTTCTACTATAAACGATTAATTCTTTTTGTATATTATTATGACCCGTACGTATATACTAGTGTTTAATATTATCTACATACATAGGATTACTGGTTTTTTTTCTAATTTCAGCCTTTAACACGGATATGATGTCTACCTATTTCGATTAAGTGATCCTACCAAAAGTTTACAAACTCCAGTGTTACTTTAACGCAGTCTCGCAATGACGCCATAATAATCAGTGGCAGATTTAAGTGGGGCCGAGCCGACCCTATTTTTTTCTAAATTATTGTTTAAAAAAAGAAAAAAAAAACAAAGGAAAATTATAATTAGAACTTAGGTCTGAGAGTGCCATTTCCGGCAATCTATAGGTGTCATAATCATAAATTTTCTTTCCTCAGCCCCAACCATGGTGGGGCTGAGGTGATCTACGTTCCCAACGTGCAAGTCCCTCCCTGTCCCCCCTCTAATTTGCTTTCTTGGAGCCGCCACTGATAATGATAGATTAAGTAAATCACCTATGTTTGTGAAATCAAAATGCTAACTAATGTTTTGTGTGCCTCTATCTCCCTAGTCCTGTTTGATCGTAAATTAGAGGGTATTATTTCCACTCACAATAATTTATCGCAATATTACTTACACAAAAGTGAAATTCAAAAAGAAGAGAAAAGCAAAAACCTCTTGATTGATTTTAAAAGTACTGTACATGCAAAAGATTAATGATGGTTTTAAGAGTCATTCCATATGAATCCAACACACGTTTTTTACTCGACCCCCTTCAAATCGCCCAATATTTTGCATGTTGGGGGTTCTACCTCAGATAACCCCACAGTGACATTTTTGGCTCCGCGCCAGCATTTTCTGATGAGTTAGAGCAATTTGAAATTTTCATGATATTTGGCTAAAAAACTCACTTTCTGACAGACAACTGCTTATCTTTCTTAAAACTCAACGTATTGGAGAAATTCTGGTACCGTTGGATAGAGAAAAAAGATTCTCTTTCCAATGATATGCAACTCGATGATGTCCGGACTAGTGAGAATTATATAGGTCAAGTCACATGACCTTGACCTTTGACCCAAAATATCACAAAAGTATATACAATTTTTGGAAAATTCACACCTCAGTTAGGACACATGCCCACATGATACCCCTAAAGTTTCATTGTGGGCAAATGAAATATATTAGCTCTAGACTACATTTTGTGCCTAGGTATTGATAGTTTCACTGAGTTTCCAGGAAATCTGCTAATAGATTCTATAAAAATTGGCACCATAGTATAGTGAAAATAAGGGGCCCCGTGAAATTTTTTTGGGACCAAAGTTTCACTGCTGATTTAGCATCACTAGGGTATAAATAAGAAATTGAGCGAGGGAGAACCTTCAGAAAAAGGACGGAACATATTTTTTGGCAGCCATTTTCAAAATGGCCGCCAAAATTATGATTTTGACTCATAACTTCACTTATATCCAATAAAAAAGGGCAAATCTGGTGTCTAACTATATGTTATTAGGGTCACTGAAGCCAATGAGACAGGTTTCGAAGAAACCTCCAGAAAAAGAGCGGAAAATATTTTTTGGCGGTCATTTTCAAAATGGCCGCCAAAATTATGATATTGACTCATAACTTCACTTATATCCAATGAAAAAGGGCAAATCTGGTGTCTAAATATATGTTATTATGGTCACTGAAGCCAATGAGACAGGTTTCGAAAACGTAAAATGTCAGCCATATTGAAACTCAAGATGGCCACCTTAAAAATGGTAAAAAAAAAATTTTTCAGTAGGCCTATAATTCCACATTTCTTCTAGGGAAAATGGTAAATTTGGATCTAATTATCATATGATTTTGGCCTCTCTGAATACAATAAATATGGTTTCAAAAAGCTAGGATGGTAGTCATTTTGAATTTCAAGATTGCCGCCATAAAAACCATCAAAAAATAAATATTCTGGTATGTAATTCCATTTCTATTTGATGATAAATGCTAAATTTGGTGTCAAATTATATGGTTTTGTGTCAACTGAGTTCAATAAACATGATTTCATATAATAGCATATAATTTTACACCAAATTTAGCTTTTGTCCTCAAATAGAAGTGGAATCACTTACAAGAAGAATATTTATTTTTTGATGGCTTTTATGGCGGCAATCTTGAAATTCAAAATGGCTGTTATTCTAGATTTATGAAACCTTGCATATGTTTAAAAATCAAATTTAGCAGTTTTCCTCAAAGGAAAGTGGAATTACATCCTAAAATATTCTATTTTTTGGGATATTTATGGCGGCCATCTTGAATTTCAAAATGACTACCATCCTAGCTTTTTGAAACTATGTTTAATGTATGATTAGATCCAAATTTACCATTTTCCTTAGAGGATATGTGGAATTATACTAAAATATTTGTTAAACCATTTTTAAGGCGGCTATCTTGAGTTTCAATATGGCTGCCATTTTACGTTTTTGAAACCTGTCTCATTGGCTTCAGTGACCTTAATAACATATAGTTAGACACCAGATTTGCCATTTTTCATTCGATATAAGTGAAGTTACGAGTCAATATCATAATTTTTTCATATGTTCCACCCTTTTTCTGAAGGTCCTCCCTAGTTCAATTTCTTATTTATACCCTAGTGATGCTAAATCAGCAGTGAAACCTTGGTCCCAGAAAAATGGTCACGGGGCCCCTGATTTTCACTATACTATAGTGCCAGTTTCAAAGAATCTATTAGCAGATTTCCAGGAAACTCAGTGAAACTATCAATACCTAGGCACAAAATGTAGTCTGAGAGCTAATATATTTCATTTGCCCACAATGAAACTTTAGGGGCATCATGTGGGCTAAGTGTAATAACTGAGGTGTGAATTTTCTAAAAATCAAGATATATATATCTCATTTTACAGTTTCATCTCGCTCTATGCCTAGTTTAGTGTGCACTGCTTACAGGTCTATTGCTCAGAACATTTCCAATGAGAGAACATTATTTTGATGGAACATGGGAGTTGGGAAATATTTTATGGTAGATTTTATAGGGGTAGGATTTGCACCCTTTTAATCCCCTAGATGCCACAGTTTGTACAGAAACTTTTAAATTTGTGTCAAAAAATAGTGATATTGGGAAGTGAATAGCAGTAAAATGCTAAATCTATACCACAGTAGTATAGACGTCAGAAGGCACCCCTGCATTCAGGACCAAAATTTTACCCCTTCCATTAAAAGAATTTTTCTAGATTTTTTATATGTTTTCCTCAATAAATTCTGAGTTGAATACAATTATTTTCGTTATTATTACAATTTGTTCCGGGTTGAGCTATGTTTTTGTTGTAGATTCACTGGACCAATACTGGTCTCTGTGGTCTAAACGATATGACGCTCGCCGAGATATTGAGAGATTGTGCGTTCTTATAAGGAATCATGTTTGATACGATTTATAACATCATATTCCTATATATTTGAGCACTTTGTTATTATTATTAATATTATTATTATTATTATATACATATATATTCATATTTGTAATGATTTCGTATTTAATTAATAAAATATTAGGCCTATGTATTATTAAATTTAGCCAAAAATGTCGTAAGAATATTTTGGTAATTTTAGGGTCATAAAATTGACATAGTCTAATGTGTCATCATATCATTTGATAGATAATTGTAATAGCTTTCGTATGATACCAAAGTATTTAAAATTGAAAAATCTTCCAGTAAAAGGCTAGGTTCAAAATACAAATTTTGGGTAAAAACATGTAAAATTGTTATCTGTGGTAAAATTTGGCATTAAAATTCCAAATTCTGCGTGGCAAAAAACCATTTTGTTTGAGCCAAGACCCGGTGATAAGAATTCACCATTTTTTTAAAGGTTGTTAGCTTTATGTTCATAAATAAAACATAGGCCTATTTTATTTAATATAGCAAAACAAGGCATAACATACGTTTTTTGGTACTTTTTGGGGCACAATATTAGTATAATGTGTTTTCAGACCAGCTTACACTTAGTAATAACGTACTAGCTTTAAAATACCATTTTTGGATAAAAAGTGTAAAATTTGCCATTTTTGCAGGAAATAACCGGTGAAATAGGCCTACTATAACACCAAAATAAAAATTGATAGTGTCTGAAATTTTTAATGGTGTTTTATTTTGTATGTGGTCAGTTTTTGAAAAAGTATCAGACGAAAAGGTTGTTAGCTTAGTATTTTTCCTATGTACTGTATTTAACAAAATATGTATTTTTAAATTCAGCAAAAAAAGTGATAAAATAATAAGTTTTTTTGGAAACGTTTGGGTCACAAAATTAATATAATATGTCATCATATACATCATTCAATAAATAATTTCAATAGCTTTCTTGTGACACCAAATATATTCATATGAATTTTCCAGTGGCGGACAGCTTTAAAATACGATTTTTTTTGTAAACACGTGTACAATTTGTCATTTGTTTTTTGGCTAAATTTGGCACTAAAATCCACAATTCATCGAGGCAACAGCCCAATCCGCGTGAGCCAATGCCCGTTGATGAGAATTCACCAGTTTTTGAGAAAGTATCAAAATTTAGCTTAGTATATTTTTCATAAATAAAACATGTATTTATAAATTTATCCAAAAAAGTAATAAAATTTAGTTATTTGGTACTTTTTAGGTCACAAAAAACATAATGTGTCATCATCACACACACCATTTCATAGACAATTTAATTAGCTTTCGTATGATACCAAATATATTCATATTGAATCTTTCAATAACGTACTAGATTCGAAATGCCATTTTGTGGTGAAAAGGTGTAGAATTTTTGTGAGAGATGAATTTTGACACTGTAAATACGAAACACAAAATTTATAATGTCTGAAATTTTTATAGGTGATTTATTATGTATGTGGTCAGCTTTTGAGAAGTATCAGACGAAATGGTTGTTAGCTTAGTATTTTTGGTAATTATTAATATAACATATATTATTAAATTTAACCAAAAAAAAATCATTAAAAAATTGCTATTTTTATGTCACAAAATTAATATAATGTGTCATCATATAAATCATTCAATAGATAATTGTAATAGTTTTCGTATGACACCAAATATGCTCAAATTGAATCTAGTTGTTTCAAATTACAATTTTTGTGTAAATCGTGTAAAATTTTTTGGCCAAATTTGGCCCATTATACTAAATAGATTCGTTTAGGAGTGGAAGACCTTCGTCAGTGCCCGGTCCTACATGCAAGGAGGCATAATGGGCGGTAAGTAAGTAATTATTTTCTTAAATATGAATTTTTGTAAAAAAAAAAGAAAAAAAATAAAGATATTCTACTAACCTTTCATTATGTGGACCAACGCTAAAAAATATATAAACTTACAACTTGCAGGCGACATTAGTCCAAATTGTTGTAAAGGCCTTGGTTAACTACTAATTATAACAGTAAGACAGATTGGCAGATCTATCTGAACTTACTTTCCGCACTAATGCTCGTGAAAAAAACAGTATCGTTATAATACGATTCCGTTATATAGACCTATTAATATCTTGATAATTTAACAGTATAAAGAAAACGAATATTTTATGAGAGACAATATAATATTTAGTTTACCAAATTAGGCAGTGAGGTAATAAAATTTTATTTAATCTATGTAGCATTTTGGTCATGCTTAAATTGATGAGTGCACACTCGGCCTTTGCTGGCTAATTACTAGAAAGTGCACGCGCTAGGGGATGCAGAATGATAATGCTTTCAATATCGGTATAATAACAAGTACAGGTCTCCCTCCAATGAAAGACCAATCCAATTAAGGACCACCTCCAATTAAAGACCACTATTCTGTGGTTCCAAATTAACAAATTTCTTTTTATCTTTATTATTCTAATGAGAGACCAAAGCTGCTAAAAACCATGGAAACCCCGGTCCCAAAAGTGGTCTTTTGGAGGAAGACCTGTATATTTTTTTTAAACACATCATTTTTTTTAAACAATAATTTAGAGCCATAGAAATAAAGCCAGCCATTGATGTTTCAACATTAATAGAAAATATCGTAAGCTTATATAACAACCTAGTCTACTGATAACAACAGAATTTGTCCAATGAATGTATACATGTAAATATTGAGGGGTTTTTTTCTACTTTTGTTAGTTCTATGCAAGACGAAAGTGCAAAGTCTTCATCCCATGATTCGTTGACACAAAGAGCCAGTCAAGTGAGGTAATATAAAAAATACGTGCTAATAAAAAAGGGATAAAAATAAAACGGGTTGAACATTGTAGGTACGTAGGGATGTTTGTGGTTCTTTATGAAATGTGGGTGGTAGCCAGAATGCTGGAGGACCGTCCTTGGGCTTGGTGTGGGTAGGCCTAGGTTGGCTAAGCGTAACACATACTAATGACGAGATATAAGAAAGTGAGTCTTCCATCATGAATTTATGCTGTTGTTAATTTTGATGTTGCTTTTAATTTCACTTTCTACAAACTTCGTTTTTGGAAAACTGAAATTCACAATTTTTGAGTTGGCAAATTGATATTCGGCAAACTGGGATTCGGCAAAGTGGACTCAGCAATCTGGGATTCAGAAAACTGGGTTTCGGCAACCTGGCCAATAGATCCCACCCAAACCCCTGGCCCTTTTACTTCAAATGCTGAGCAAAATAAATTGCACTTAAGTAGGCCTAATTAAATTAGCAACATATTTTTCCAACACTCTAACAACCACCTGGTAAAAGAAGTGACCAAATTTCCTAATTGAATATTTTTTACTAAAAATTGTAATAATTTTTTACACGGTTCTGGGGCGTCATTTTAATCAGAAACTTGTGGGATCCCGGGTGACACCGAAACTAGTTAAATTGTATCCGTTTCTGGTCGTATTTGACCAGGTAGTTTTTAGAGTGTTTTTTGCCCGTCCATAGGCCTATTCCTAGATAGGCCATCGTATTTTGACCGTCCATAAATATCCAGCAGGGTTTTACTCTGGTACTCTGGATAAGTTAGTTTGGACCCCGTGTAAGTGTTAGACTTGCAAACCCAACCTGTGTGAACATTTCTGCAGCTAGATCCGTGCATCACTATGTAGTCAGTTTGGGTGTTTCCGCTGGCCAATCACATCCATGAGGAAGACTTCTTTCCATGGCATGGAAATGACACTCTCAAGACATTGAAATAAAATTTTCTTTTTCCCATTTTTTTCAAATTTATAAAAAAAATAAAAAAATAGGTGGAGGGAGAGGCCGAGCCCATTGAATATTCGACAGAGGGAAGGGCAAGGAAGAAATTTCACAGATGGGGGGGGGGTCGCCCCCCCCCCCCCCCCCCCCCCCCCCCCCCCCCGGG